AGGTCTCGGACTTAGAGGTCTCAAACATAGAGGTCTTGGACATCCAGGTCTCGGACATAGAGGTGTTGGAGATGGAGGTCTCGGACATTCATGTCTCGGACATAAGGTGTCGGACACAGGGGTCTCGGACACAGGTCTTGGACATACAGGACACAGAGGTCTTGGACGCGCGTGTATCTACAGGAGGTCTCGGACATAGGTTCTCGCACATTTAGAGGTCTCGGACAGAGACATAGAGGTCTCGGACTCAGAGGTCTCAAACACAGAGGTTTCGGACATCCAGGTCTCGGACATAGAGGTGTTGGAGATGGAGGTCTCGGACGCAGAGGTCTTGGACACAGAGGTCTCGGACACAGATGTTTCGGAAACAGAAGTTTTTGAAACAGAGGTCTCGGACAGTGTTCTCGGACACACAGGCCTTGGACAGAGGTCTCGGACATAATTACAGGTCTTGGACAGAGGTCTCGGACACACAGGTCTTGGACAGACAGGTCTTGGACATAGGTCTCGGGCATAGAGGTCTCAGACATTGGATGTCGCGGATTTAGAGGTCTCTCACACACAGTTCTCGGACATAGAGCTCTCGGAGATGCATGTGTTTATATATGAGGTGTTGGACATAGGTCTCGGACATAGAGTTCTCGACCACACAGGTCTCGGACATTCATGTCTCGGACACAGGGTGTCGGACACAGGGGTCTCTGACACAGATCTTGGACATACAGGACACAGAGGTCTCCGACGCATTCGGACGCGCATGTGTGTCTAGGAGGTGTCGGACATACGTTCTCGGACATTTCGAGGTCTCGGACACAGACATATAGAGGTCTCGGACTCAGAGGTCTCAATCACAGAGGTCTCGGACATCCAGGTCTCGGACATAGAGGTGTTGGAGATGGAGGTCTCGGACACAGAGGTCTCAGACATAGAGGTCTCGGACATAGAGGTCTCGGATGCAGAGATCTCGGGCCCAGAGGTCTCGCACATAGAGGTCGCGGACAGTCGGAGAGATGTAGGACATGCGCGGATGTGTCTCGGACACAGAGGTGTCGGACATAGAGGCCTCCAAAATCGGTACCCAGTGTAGCGTAAGTGTCGAAAGTATGCGTTCACAAGAACGTTAATAGACCCCACCCGAACCCAAACCCAAAACCCTGGACAACGTCAGATCAGAGACACAGAAGAGACCAAGCGTAGCGTAAGTGTCGAAAGTGCAGCGCATTCACAAGAACGTTAATAGACCCCACCCGAACCCACACCCAAACCCCTGGCCCCTGGACAACGTCAGATCAGAGACACAGAAGAGACCAAGCGTAGCGTAAGTGTCGAAAGTGCATTCACAAGAACGTTAATAGACACCCGAACCCAAACCCAAACCCCTGGACAACGTCAGATCAGAGACACAGAAGAGACCAAGGGTAGCGTAAGTGTCGAAAATGCATTCACAAGAACGTTAATAGACCCCACCCGAACCCAAAACCCCTGGACAACGTCAGATCAGAGACACAGAAGAGACCTAGCGTAGTGTAAGTGTCGAAAGTGCAGCGCATTCACAAGAACGTTAATGGGCCTCACCCGAGCCCAAACCCAACCCCCTGGACAACGTCAGATCAGAGACACAGAAGAGACCAAGCGTAGCGAAAGTGTCGAAAGTGCAATCACATAGACGCCACTTTTACCCAAACCTAATGACCTGGACAACGTCAGATCAGAGACACAGAAGAGACCAAGCGTAGCGTAAGTGTCAAAAGTGCATTCACAAGAACGTTAATTGGCCCCACCCGAACCCAAAACCCCTAGACAACGTCAGATCAGAGACACAGAAGAGACCTAGCGTAGCGCAAGTGTCGAAAGTGCATTCACAAGAACGTTAGTAGACCCCACTCGAACCCAAACCCAAACCCCTGGACAACGTCAGATCCGAGACACAGAAGAGACCAAGAGTAGCGTAAGTGTCCAAAGTGCACTCGCAAGAACTCAGGGGTAAAATTTAGAGAGGGAAGTGGCCCTTCCAAGTTGACTCACCCGTTGGTGAGCCACCCGAGGGTAAAATTTTGAGGAGGCTGTTGCCCTTCCAAGTTGACTCACCCTTTTGTGGGCAATGCAGGGTCTAATTTAGAGAAGGATGTTGCCCTCCCAAGTTGCCTAACCCTTTAGTGGGCAATGCAGGGTAAAATTGAGAGAAGGAAGTGGTCATTCCAACTTGACCCACCCTTTTGTGCGCAATGCAAGGGCCAAAATTGGAGAAGCAAGTGGCCATGCCAAGTTGATTCACACTTTTGTGGGCCATGCAAGGTCAAATTGAGAAGGATGTTGCCCTTCCAAGTTGACCCACCCGTTGGTGAGCAACTCGAAGGTAAAATGTACAGAAGGAAGTGGCCATTCCAACTTGACTCACCCCTGTATGTGGGCGATGCAGGGGTAAAATTTGGAGAATGTTGCCATTTCAACTTGACTCACCCCTTTCTATGGGCAACGCAGGGTTAAAATTTAGAGAAGGAAGTGGTCATTCCAACTTGACTCACCTTTTTGTGGGCCATGCAGGGGTAAAATTTAGAGCAGGAAGTGGCCATGCCAGGTTGACTCACCCTTTGGTGAGCCGCGAGAGGGTAAAATTTAGAGAAGGATGTTGCCATCTCACCTTGCCTCACCCTTTTGCGGGCAAAGCAGGGGTAAAATTTAGAGAAGGATGTTGCCCTCCCATGAGGTCTCGGACTCGGACGCGCGTGTCTGTGTAGGAGGTCTCGGACATAGAGGTCTCGGACATATTGTGGCCTCGGACATATGGAGGTCTCAGTCTCCGACACAAACAGGTCTCAGACACAGTCTCGGGCATAGAGGTCTTGGACATGGAGGTCTCGGACACAGAGGTCTCGGACATAGAGGTCTCGGACGCAGAGATCTCGGACCCAGAGGTCTCGGACTTATAGAGGTCGCGGACATATGGAGGTCTCCGACACAGACATATAGAGGTCTCAGACACGACATCGAGGTCTCGGACATAGAGGTCTTGGACATGGAGGTCTCGGACACAGAGGTCTCGGACATAGAGGTCTCGGACATAGAGGTCTTGGACGCAGAGATCTCGGACCCAGAGGTCTCGGACAGTCAGAGAGATGTCGGACGTGCGCGGATGTATCTCGGACACAAAGGTCTCGGACATAGCGGTCTCGGACATAGAGGTCTCGGACGCAGAGGTCTGGGACATAGAGGTCTTGGACATGGAGGTCTCAGACAGAGAGGTCTTGGACATAGAGGTCTCGGACATAGAGGTCTCGGACTCAGAGGTCTCAATCACAGAGGTCTCGGACATCCAGGTCTCGAACATAGAGGTGTTGGAGATGGAGGTCTCGGACACAGAGGTCTCAGACATAGAGGTCTCGGACATAGAGGTCTCGGATGCAGAGATCTCGGACCCAGAGGTCTCGGACATAGAGGTCGCGGACAGTCGGAGAGATGTCGGACATGCGCGGATGTATCAGAGGTCTCGGACATAAAGGCCTCCAAAATCGGTATCCAGCGTAGCGTAAGTGTCGAAAGTGTGCGTTCACAAGAACGTTAATAGACCCCACCCGAACCCAAACCCAAACCCCTGGACAACGCAAGATCAGAGACACAGAAGAGACCTAGCGTAGCGAAAGTGTCGAAAGTGCAGTCCATTCACAAGAACGTTAATAGGCCCCACCCGAACCCACACCCAAACCCCTGGCCCCTGGACAACGTCAGATCAGAGACACAGAAGAGACCAAGCGTAGCGTAAGTGTCGAAAGTGCATTCACAAGAACGTTAATAGACACCCGAACCCAAACCTAATGACCTGGACAACGTCAGATCAGAGACACAGAAGAGACCAAGCGTAGCGTAAGTGTCGAAAGTTAATAGGCCCCTCCCGAACCCAAACCTAAACCCCTGGACAACGTCAGATCAGAGACACAGAAGAGACCTAGCGTAGTGTAAGTGTCGAAAGTGCATTTACAAGAATGTTAATAGACCCCACTTTTACCCAAACCCAAACCCCTGGACAACGTCAGTTCCGAGACACAGAAGAGACCAAGCGTAGCGTAAGTGTCGAAAGTGCATTCACAAGAACGCAGGGGTAAAATTTAGAGAAGGAAGTGGCCCTTCCAAGTTGACTCACCCGTTGGTGAGCCACCTAAGGGTAAAATTTTGAGAAGGCTGTTGCCCTTCCAAGTTGACTCACCCTTTTGTGGGCAACGCAGGGTCCAATTTAGAGAAGGATGTTGCCCTCCCAAGTTGCCTAACCCTTTAGTGGGCAATGCAGGGGTAAAATTGAGAGAAGGAAGTGGTCATTCCAACTTGACTCACCCTTTTGTGCGCAATGCAAGGGCCAAAATTGGAGAAGCAAGTGGCCATGCCAAGTTGACTCACACTTTTGTGGGCCATGCAAGGTCAAATTGAGAAGGATGTTGCCCTTCCAAGTTGACCCACCCTTTGGTGAGCAACTCGAAGGTAAAATGTACAGAAGGAAGTGGCCATTCCAACTTGACTCACCCCTGTATGTGGGCGATGCAGGGGTAAAATTTAGAGAAGGATCTGCCATTTCAACTTGACTCACCCCTTTGTATGGGCAACGCAGGGTCAAAATTTAGAGAAGGACGTGGTCATTCCAACTTGACTCACCCTTTTGTGGGCAATGGAGGGGTAAAATTTAGAGAAGGAAGTGGCCATGCCAAGTTGACTCACCCTTTTGTGGGCCATGCAGGGGTAAAATTTAGAGAAGGAAGTGGCCATGCCAGGTTGACTCACCCTTTGGTGAGCCGCGAGAGGGTAAAATTTAGAGAAGGATGTTGCCATCTCACCTTGCCTCACCCTTTTGCGGGCAAAGCAGGGGTAAAATTTAGAGAAGGATGTTGCCCTCCCATGAGGTCTCGGACTCGGACGCGCGTGTCTCTATAGGAGGTCTCAGACCTAGAGGTCTCGGACATATAGTGGTCTCGGACATATGGAGGTCTCCGTCTCCGACACAGACATATATAGAGGTCTCAGATACAGAGGTCTCGGACACAGAGGTCTCGGACATAGAGGTCTCGGACATAGAGGTCTCGGACGCAGAGATCTCGGACCCAGAGGTCTCGGACATAGAGGTCGCGGACAGTCAGAGAGATGTCGGACATGCGTGGATGTATCTCGGACACAAAGGTCTCGGACATAGAGGTCTCGGACATAGAGGTCTCGGACGCAAAGGTCTCGGCCATAGAGGTCTCGGACATACAGGTCTCGGACGAAGAGATCTCGGACCCAGAGGTCTCGGACATTGAAAAGGGGGATAAACGACCCCAAATGGGGGGGATAAATGATCCCCCGCCCCGGCCGAACGCGTTGGCCAAGTCGAGGGCCGGTTGCTGATGCCGAGACCGGCGGATGAGAAACCCCAGGCGGACCTCCGTGTTTTCGGAAGATGCTGGTAGGTGAAAATGGCCGGAAGCTGTTCTGACATGGACATTTGCCAATGGAACTCTCCTGCAAAGTTGCAATTTTGTTTTTGCCTCTAGGTTTTGCTAACGAGTCCTGTTCAAACCCGACCTTTTTGCGCGGATCAGTTCAGAGCTTCTTCTTTGTTGCAAATGCCTCCGAGTGCTTGCCAAGCCACCAGCAGAGGGTTTTATGACTTGAGTAGTTCAAAGTTTGCAAACGTTTGCCGCCCTTGCCTTCAACTCGGATGCATGGCAGGGTTCACGTCTTGACTTCGGGACAGAAGCTACTTTAGCATACGCAATCCATGCGAGGAGAGAAAGTGTGCTGGGTAGAGGGCTGGACGCCCTTTTGCTTTGACAGCAAATTTGGAAACTTTTGCCGTCGCGGCACTTGTCCGGTCATTCCGGATTGGGTGTAACACTCTCCATCACGTCCCGTTCAACCAATCAAGCCCTTTCTCCCAGTCTCGAGGTCACAGAAACTCATGACAGATCTGCGAGTTTGTGTTCTTGCTTTTAACACACTTGGGGGGAAAAAACGCCTTGACACCTCCTCCAGGCTCCATTTTTCATACATGTCATTCACGTTTAGCGCTTTCTCCCTCAAGTCCTGAAGGATGCTCATGGATGCTCCAAATTATTTCCTTGAAATACCGCGCTCTGCAGCGGCTCCGAGGTTCGTGCCTTTCCATCTTCTTGCAGGCGGTTCCAAAAGAGGAGGGAGGCAAAGGTGTCTTCCAGCCGATGAGTGTTGCACGGCTGAGAGTCTGCGAAGCGACAGAGAAACAGAAACGCTGAAGTTTGTCGAGCGGCAGTCTGTCTGTGATCCTGCTCCCCAGCGACGCACCGCGTCTGCGCCATCATGTTTTCCTTTCCCGCCAATCCGCATGGCACAGCGACATCATAAACGTAATTTCGCCACACGGCGTGCCACAGACCATAGGTACAACAATGTCACACCAAGCCTCGTGGACACTGCCAACCGTCCTTTTCCCTAGCCACACGCACGCCGCGTTTGCGCCATCATGTTTCCCTTCCACATGGCACGGACGAACACGCAAAAGCACTTTCCACCGAGGCCGCGCAAACCCGCATGACACAGCGTCATTTCGCCGCATCGCCTGCAACCCACTTTGGTAACATCCACAAAAATGGTTCAAGTCACGGCAATAGTCCACTGCTCATGTCGATCGACACGCACAAATCGAGAAGTGCAAGAGACTCCATATTGAGAAGGTTCCCAACTTCGTAAGAATTGTTTTTAGGTTTGCTACCTAACTCTAAAGCCCTCACTTCAGAGCCCCCGCTTTCGTTTACTTTCATGCATGCATCTGCAAATGCGAAGTCAAATGAAATCATTTATCAATTTGCAACTGCTTGCTTCCATTGTTTGAGCACTCTATAAGGGGTGGTGCATTTCCGACAATGTGACACCCAATCCGGAATGAATGGGTGGTTGGGAGGTGCGGACAATTGATGGGCAGTCCACGACTTGCATGCCACATCTTCCACATCCTTTCCTATACGTTTTCAACCTCGGAAGGGCCGAGGAGGGTGTTTAATCCTGGGGACGCGTTGTGTTTTGGTAGGCGTGTGGGGAACCAGGAGAGGAAGACTTGCGCGACAACTTGCAGGTTTCGGTGGAACTTGTGCTGTGTGCAGTCAAAGTGATGCGAGTGTGAATTGCCTTGCGCTGGCAGTGATCCTTTTCCATCTCAACAAACTGCGCGCCCAAATAGCACGTCCATCAATGTGGGTAGTGCCAAGCATACCAAAATGATCAACAATTCCAAGTGTCACCCCCATATTATATTAGACGTTGACGCTTTGTATGCGGAAAATTATCTGCTTAGAGCATCGCCTCCCCCCATTTCTGGGCATTTGTGGATATGTTTGAGGAGAATGGGAAGAAAAGGTAGTGCAATAAGCAGATGCGCGTACATGGATGTAAGAAGGTTGTACTGCGCATTGTTTATATCATATCGTTTCTCCGAAACATCTACATGTCATTCCCATATACTAAATATATGACTGATCCAAAAAGAGTGTCCTCTAGAATTTGGGGTGCAGTAACCTGAATGGAAACAGCACTAAACAGAGATGGACACGGCAATGGAGAGAAAAAACAGTCAGTTTGAAATTCCTGCGCTTTAATTTTGTGGGATACCTGCACTTGCACCAAACAGATCCTCAATCTGCTTACCTTCCCCCTCCCTTCATGGTGTGACTTTGCCAACTCTCAGCCTATCTTTCTGCTTCCGGAAGAATTTGAAGCCCCTGCCCATTGAAACGGCCCTTTCTTTTCCTTTCACCTTTTTGGTTCACACTTCCAATGTCCATTCCTGGATATTTCATACACCAGCCTTCACTTTTCCATTTAATCTTTGCTTTCTACAACACCACCTATTTATCTCCATCTATCTCCGGAATTATCTCTCCTTCAACATGTTCGCACTTGAGACATCAGCGCGCTTGGCAGACGTTGCATGTTGGCAAACAATGAGAAACAAGGCAGTGGTAAGCAAACCGTGATTGAAAAATGTACCTCCTAAAAATGATTTGCTTGATTTCTACTACTGTGGGACTGGGGGACCATGTTTTTTTCTGCCTGTCACTGACTATAGCATTGCAATATTGAAGTGCACCGTGCAAGGCGCATGCCCCGGAACATTTCAGGGACACTTGTGTACATTGCCCACTTTCATTGACAACTCGATCATCCTGCGCCCGATCCTCGGCCATGTGCGTTCTCTTCGATCCAGCGGTGCGATGACGCCCGGTGCTATGGACGAACACTACATGCGCTTGGCTCTGTCGGCCGCTGAGCAAGGAAAACGCCTAGGACACCGGCAAGTTTGCAGGGCACGTTGAATCGCATCATTGTAATGCGGTTGAAAGCAGTTCCCTTCACGACCTGGTTGTCAGGAGAAGTTGCCGTTGGGTGCGTGTTGGTTCATCAGAGTGGCGAGGTGCTCGCCATTGGGCACAATGAAACGAACTGCTCTCGCAACGGCCGCCTGGCCTCTAGGTGGGGCACAAAGATCACAGTCCGATCTGCGGATGGCGAGACCGAGGCACTCGGCATTGTGAGTTCGTCGCCTCGGAGAAAGTGTTGTGTCGGGCCATCCTGGCATGGTTTGATGCACTTTTGGAGGAGATGATTGTCAGATGATCCCTTTTTGTTTTCTTTTTGGGGAACATGTCTTGCGAAGATTCCAATTTCGAGCGTGCGTGCATGTGCCAATCGTCACAGGCCAACGGTCCGGACTTGCTGCGTCACAGCTGTTTGTATGTCACGCTGGAACCTTGCATTATGTGTGTCACTTGGGCTGCACTCGTGACAGTTCGGGGGTCTTGGCGCCGCGCGGGGAAGACCTTATTTGTTTGAAATAGTTCGTTTGGCTACCATGGCGGCGCCTACCTGTTTCTGGCTGCTTGTGCCCCCCTTGAGCTGTACAGCTCACACCCATTTTGGTGCAATGTGCAAGGTTGCAATGCATCGAAGATGCCAAAACACAATGCCCGGCAAACGTTCGGACGCAATGCAGCAAACGCGTGCCAACCACCCGCACCAGGCACGATACCCTTGAATGCTGACAGTCGGTGCGTGGAACAGTCACTTTGTGAGCCTGAGTTGTTGCAGAGTGCCAATGCTTTTTGTGGGTTCGGATGTCGGAGGTTTAACACACGCAGCAGCTCAACACGATTTTGAGGACATTTTTCACTTGCCCGTATGAGGACGTGGGCCAAGCACTCATAACGATCAACACCATGGTGGGTGAGAGTAGTGCCTCTCTCCAATGACAGGGGAAGTGTGAGATAATTAGGCTCCTAGTTGGCAGAGATTGTCGATGGCTCTTGGGAGATGTACCGCAGGTTGTCATACTCAGTTCTCCATTTTTGGTGTTGTTTTTCTTTTTTGTCGGCACCTCAGGCTGCAGCGCTGCAACACTTGGGTGTGCCTGAAGTGGTGTTTGGTGCTGCCAACTCGCGGTTTGGTGGCTGTGGCGGTACCTTTCACGTGGACAAAATCACAGCTGAAGGGAAAGGAGACAAACCCAGAAGTCGCACAATATTTCACATACCAATGAAGAGGTCGTGCTACTAGGAGCAAGGACGCTACTAGTAGCTCCTGGCCTTACTACTAGTAACAAGAAGCTACTAGTAACAAAGGGCATCGCTACTAGGAGCAAGAAACTACTCGTATTTTCTGAACTCCATGGTTTGTAGCAACAAATTCTAAGCAGAATGAACCACCTGAGAACCGTGGGCTGGGGTCAGACCCAATTTTTACTAGCAGCAGTGATGAAGTTAGCTTTAGGAAACACTATGTGCATGAAGAGTGGTGATTGTTGGATTCACTGTTCAGGAGATTCTGGATGTAACGCTGCCCGGCCAGCCTTGCGGGGTTTCAATTCTCGAGGTGGCATCCTGGCAGAGGCGCGGCCTTTTAATTCATCAATCCTTGCAAGTGAAAGGAGGCGGTTTCATCGCTCAGGAGGCTGTGAAGCTCTTACAGGTGACTTAGCTGACGCAGACGCAGTGACTTAGCAACATCGAGTTTTCCCGAAAGGAAATCGGTTGGTCCAAGGACTTCTACAAATCGGGCAATCCAAATGCTCCCGACGTGAAGCGACATCGGCCTTTGGAATCGGATGCAAGTGCCGGTGAGATGGAAAAAGAGGTCGTGGGAACCGTGGAGTTGGCTCGCAAAGATGCAGAGAGAAGCAGGATTCGTTCTCCACATGTTCTGCACTTCATTGATCGCCATTTTTCTCGCCATTTTGGGCTGGTTTGGACAGAAGAACGGCTCAACAAAGAAAGGCGCAATTCGCAAGAGATAGGGACAGAGATACTTTCGCCACACTTGGAGACATTTTTTTGCCCCTGCACACGGTTTTCAAGCTGAGTATTGAGTATTTTGTTACGAGAGCTGGCGTTTTTAGTTCCTCACTTGTGAGGCTCAGCTATGCAGTGTGTTAATGTGTGATGTTGCTCAGGCTCAGGCTCGAGCCTGCTTGCAGAAACCCGTATATAGTTGGACATTTGCGAGTTTGACCCTAGCCTGAATCTACAGGCGAGCGTTGTCAAACAATGTCTGTAACTCTTCTTTGGTGCTCTGGTTTGGCCAAGGAGGCCGCGTTTTCCCATGCAATTGTCAGTGCAAACAGACGTTTCTCTCAGTGCGACTGAAATTCGCCATGCCGACCTACGCAGTGGGCCACGCATTTGCCGAACAGCTGTGGAGCTTCGACTGGCCTTTGCGGCGTCCCAAAAAGCCGTCAGCTTGGGAGCTTCAGCTTTTCGAATTGGAGCGCGCTCTCCCTTACACTCCTTTGGTTTGGCGGCATATTCTTGTAGAAGTGTCCATTATTTTTTGTTCTTTTAGACCTTCACGGCCTTTTCTCCTTCCTTCCTTGCTTCCGTTGGACTTCCGTTGGACACCGAGAAAGAAGACAAGGATGAGTTGTGGTGAGCCTGGCATAGTGTTCTTTTTCGCAGCCTTGATTGGCTCAACTCCATCAGCTCAGACAGCCCGCAAGGTTGGATTCGTTTCCATCGAATCAGGTGTTGCACAAGCTACCGCAAAAGAGCCCAGACCTGGGAACAGCTTTCAACGTCGTGGTTCCTTTGTCAATCTTTTTCCCCTCCTCGCTCTCTGTATTAGCTTGGAGGTCATTGCAAGTAGGTTGGAAGGTCTATTAGCTATTACTCTCTCACCACTCTCTCTGCAACGTGTTTTGCACGTCTTTGTTTCTTCTTTCCCTCAGTCGGCTCAAATGAGAAAGATGGATTCTCGGTTCATGTGAGAAGCTTCGCGCTGCCCGTGCGCTTCCTTGAGTCGGAGGAGCTCACAGAGTGGAGCTTTTGAGCCCTTCGAGAAGTTCGTGAACCCGAGCCCTTTCCAAGAAACGTCGGTACCGATGGGCTGCAGCTGGAGCAAAAGTGGGTCGATACCTCAAACACCATGTGTCACCATGTGGGTGATTAAAGTCTCGGACTTTCTGGACATGGATTTTCCTTTACCCCAACATGAGGAATGTCTTGCAGCTGGCCTTCTGCATCGCGCCAACAAATCGGTGTGGTGCATTTTTGTATCACACCAATGGCTCGGGAAGAGACACCCGGACCCGGGTGGACATCAATTTAAAGTCTTGCAAGATGCCTTGAGAAATGTCATTGCAGGGACCACCAAGGTGTCGCGAGATATCGCGAGCGAGTTCTACGGGGATTCTCATAGCATGTCAGATGAGGATCGAGGACGACTACGTAACGCCTACCTGTGGCTGGACTGGCTCAGTGTTCCTCAGCATCGAGTTGCCGTTGACCAAGTCTCCGATCTTCCTGATTCGATGCTATCCCACAGAGCTGTTCTGGAGAAACGTGGACGGCTTACAACGCAGGATGTGCACATTTTGTCCATTCCTGATTATGTACAGTACTCGGATGTGTTTCTGGCTTTGACCCCAGTCTTGCCTCACAATGACACTGGTGAGCGGTGCAACTACTGCAGCTGGTTCGAGCGAGGTTGGTGTCGGATGGAAATGTGGTGCAAGATGCTCTCGGAGAAAGCCAGCAGCGCCAGCATGCCGATGATCGTGGTCTCAGCGCCCGACCGAGTGACCCTCGAAACGCCTCTCCACTGGACGGATCGTCCTCCACATGAAGGAAGGGTCACCTTCGAAGCGGATCGTGCGGTGATCTTTTCCATCATGAAGCATCTGCTCCAGCAGAGGCTCAAGTTCCTGGCAATGCAAAACAAGAAAGACAGCTACTACTACCTCTTGGCAAAGTACGAGACCATGCTAGGCTTGCCAAGGTGAACGAGAAAAAGTGTCCAAAACACAGCCTCAAGTCATCCATATGCATCAATACCCCGGGCCCCTAAGTAAGTGCTAGTTCGTCCTACTATAAAACAAGGTTGGAGACGATAACACGCAGTCTTTTTCTCAAGAGTTCATTCATTGAACTATAGTCATTTCGAAGGACTTTTTCCTTTAAAAGATGTTGGAGGCCATCGCTTGTAGGTTGCCCGAGGCTCATAGTCATTTTGGAGTTTCCTTTTTTAAACGATGGGTGCCAGTTTCCTGCTGGGAAATCCGAATGCGCTGCCAGGTGTGAACGATCTTTATCAGATTTCCTGGTGTACTTCGGCTTTGGCTCCAATCTTGCATCTGCGAAGAAGTGCAATAGGAACATTGGGCCCATGGCATGTGCAGTGATCTCCGGAGATTGGGCGATCATCCCCAAACTTCACGAGAATGGTTTCTCTGTAAACATCCATTTGAAGCCCATGATCGATGTGCGAATTATGTCAAGCCTTACTCTCGTACATTTGGCCGTTGATGTGAGTTGGAGGCAGCCTAAAGTATTGGAAACCTTATTGAAGCTGAAAGCAGATCCCAATTCCACAGATGATGTCGGCTATCCCGTCCTGGGCTTCTGTCGGACGCAACGCGATGTGGAATTGCTCGTGGCGAGCAGAGCGGACGTGAACCTGCGAAATGCTCCATCCAAGCAACTGGCAATCAGTGTGGCTTGTGAGTCTCTTGTCAGCTATTAGGAACAAGAAGCTATTAGGTTGGAGGCCATCGCTATGAGTAACAAGTGCATCGCTATTAGTCACAAACCTGTGTGTAAAGGTGGTCAGTCCGTGGGGTAGCGAGAATCTCAGGTATTGTCAACCGCCAGAGGTGATTTCGAAGTTGTTGGCCTGTGGCTCCCTCATCGATCCACCTGACAACGGCGGCTTGGGCTGTCCTCATCCACTGGCTTTCTTGAGTATTTGGGCGACCGCAAACCCGGATGTCTTGGAGGTGGCTCAGATGCTCATTTCAGCCAGAGCTGACGTGAACCAACAATGTGTGGCCAGTGGATACTGGCGAGCACTCGAAATGGCAAGTCGAGCCTATCTCCAAGTTTGCGATTCCTCTTCCACCTTGGTGCACTACTTCGCCGAATGGAGTACGACACCTTTGGGAATGGCTTGCTTTTTTGGCAGTGAAGAACTGGTTGATCTTCTCCTCACCGCACGGGCAGATCCACATCGCCGCAACCGTCGTGGGCACACGCCCATACAGTTAGCGCAAACACAAAGAGTTTTAGAAGTGATTGATGCCAGGCTAGCACATTCACAAGCTGATCGGTCAAGCTGTTCAGCCTTTTCCGTCTAGCCAGTTTTAAGAGCCAGTTAGGTTGGAGGCCATCGCTAATCAATCTTCGAATTCGGACTGAGCTCGCCAAGCGAGGCTGCGCCGAAAGCTTCGACTTCGGCTTTCGCGACTTTCCAAACACCGTTTCTTGACACCTGACCGAAAAAATATGGCGGATGCTTTTCGGGCAGCGTCCCATCTTCCAAGCAGTTCAAATGCAAAACCTTAGGTTCTTGGGCCTATCAAGAGCACATTCTTGTTAGTTCAGCTACTTCTTTTGGTTCCTTTGCATCCAAAGTCGCCAGGCGGATGGAGAAACCGGACAGGAAGGTGATCGGGAGGGATGTGAAGTCGGTCCAACAAGCAGTGACCTTTCTTTCCTTTTTCCTGCTAACACGAATGCTACGGGGGCTCCTGGCCTTACTACTAGTAACAAGAAGCTACGAACGGAGCATTTCGGGCATCGCTACTAGGAACAAGAAGCTACGAACGTAGCTCCTGGCCATACTTGACCGTTTTTCTTTTGTCTTGATTTGCCATTGGGAGCGCGTTTTTCGCTGGCCGCGTAGACATATATACGCTGAGTCGGATGGCAGCCCCTTCCATGCGGTCTTTTAGCATCTCTTCCGTGCGGTCACGCTATCCAGCCACAGGGTTTGAGAATAGGCTTTCTTGCACAAGAGGCATGGAAGCAAATGAGAAGCACCAGTTTCTGGCATACAAAGCTTGGAAGACATAGGATCGAGGACTACGGCCGAAAAAGACATATCAAGAACACATTCACATGGAACACCAATAAACTACGTAGGAAGTGAATCCTTTGTGGTGCGTCAACCGCACAGCTTAGCTTAGCTCGGTTTTCCCGCTTTGAGCCATGGGCTCTGCTTGGTCGTCTTTGGGTCCTCGCCTTGTGACACTGGGAGTGTTGGGTCTCGGGGGCCTTGCGGCTGCAGTGCTTTGGCTGCTCGGCTGCCAGGCGGTCGCTGTCGGGGAAGGGACTGACATCGACGCATTGCGACCTCGACGAAGGGCTGGGCTCCGCTGGCTCGGTGTTGAGGCTGAGACGTCGAGTCACCTCCCTCCCTGACATCAGCGTGCCGGAGGACGGAACGGGGGGGGGATGGCATGGGCCCAATGGGTCCTGTCTTCATAAAAGAAACGGAAGAACGCACTCAGAAACGCTTGAGGCACATCCCAAATCGATCGTAATACTCAGCTCACGATGCCTTGGAACCGGGCTGGCGAAACCATCTCTGTTGGAGCGATTGGATCGGAAACGGGACCAAAAGAGCGACAGATTCGGAACCGGGTAGCTTCTTGTTACGAGTAGCCATGCAACCTACTAGCCATGGCCTCCACCCCAGTAGCGATGGCCTCAGAAGCGGATAGATTCGGCAACTCCAGGCTTTGTATACCTTGACGCAGCTTGGCTGAGATTTTGCCCTCACACTCTGCAGGGATGTTGTTAGATCCCGAGATCTTTCGCATTCTTGAGGGTGCAAAGCGTTGTGACCGCTGCTTACAAGACTGCTTTGCTCATTCATGTATTCAGGTTACCCCTTCGGACTGCTGAGAAGAACTGCAAACGAGAATGGTACCAAAGGGGTTGGGTGTTACGTAAAACCGAATTCCAACCAGCTGAGCTGACAAGTTGCATATTGTAAGCCAGAGGTGCTCGTGTTGTGTCCGCCATACTCGCCACCACACCGGAGTCAAAGACCCAAGGAATGGTCTTTAAGGACTTCGGCGTTATATCACAGTTTGTACATCAATCTACGAGCCCCC